GATTTTCTTATTTTATTGTCTTGGTTAAAAACATTTACTTTTATTTTGTTCTTATGATTATTAGTATTTTTTTTATATTAATATTATTTTTCTAATATTATTTATTATGATTTTCTTTTATTAATTCCTTTAATTTATTTAATCCTTTAATGATGGGATCTTGTATTGAGAGACAGATATGAGTTTAGGCTTTCCTTCTGTGACAGGAAGCTTTAGAGCAGATTGTAAGATGTAACCATAGTAACATGCAGTCAGGATGTCTGTCTGATTCCTGCTGACCCTCTGACCCCCCAGGAGTGACTCTGCGGGGGAACAGTGCCAACCGGAGCGTCCGCAGAGCGAGGAGGGTCTCCGTCTCTGAAGAAGCTCTGGCTACAGACAGCGGGGTGTTCGAGGCCTGGGGGCGCAGGTGAGAGACACACCTGTACCTTAATGTAACCTTCAGGAGCTTTGGGGGGCACACAGATCAAATATCACTTTTTTTAAATGGCTTTAAAGAAAAACAGCTTCCACTGAAACAGAATAACACATTGTTGTTGTTGTTGTTGTTGTTTTCTCTCCTCTAACAGGACGGAGGAGTCCGATGAGATTTCTTTTATTAAAGATCTGACGTCTGTGAGCGAGCCCACACAGATCCACCTGGGGCTGCTGTGAGGATGATTATTTATTTATTATTTTATTTGTAATTATTATTAATTATATTTTATTATTATTTATTTATTTAATTGTTATTTATTTGTTTTATTATTATTTCATTTTTTATTCTATTATTACTTTTACATTTTTTATGCATTATTATAATAATTGTATGTATTATTATTCTTTTTTTTAATTCTTTTTTAAATATTTTTTAATGATATGTATAAACATCTTTAAAAAAACATTGTTATTGTTTTTGTTTGTGTGCTGTATTGACTCCCTGTCCGTGCCTCCTGTCCTCAGCTGGGAGTTGTCCTCTCAGTCTCTGCGGCTCCACCTCCTGCAGCTGAAGAACCTGAACCGCTGCGTCGTCAGAGAGGGGTTCAAAGTGTGAGTGCTTTCAGATCTGATTAGTAAAGAAGTCCACAGAGGAGAAGATTGATCTCTGGACCTTTAATATATGCCTAAAAACAGTATAACAGGTAATTAACCCCCCACC